TGCTTTTGGTCAGCTTAAAAAAAAAATGCTTTAAATATTTCAGTGTACCTAGAAACAATCAAAATCAAAACTGACACGAGATTCTTAGTTTGACTTAAAGACCTTTTGTTGATCATTTCCTTTCAGCAAAAGCAATTGGATTAATTTAATGCAAATTTCTCAAATGTATCTGTCACATCACGTCTGCATTTTTCAGTTTAAAATTTTCATCTGCATTGCATCAGCTCTATGTATCTATTAGGCTGGTTTTTCACACTCTTTGTCAGCCCTATGTTTGGAGAAGATTTTGGCATATCTATTTCCTATATCTTTCTGTACTAGTTTCCTCAGTACGTACAGTCATTACAATAAATTCCACCCAACCTAAATAACACCTAGTCCCCTGAACTTTCAGAAGAACCCAGATGATGAGAAACATGAGGCACAGGGACCTGTATAGCCATGACAAATTTGGCACCAATTTATTCACTCTTCCTGCAGCAGGCAGTATCAGTATTCTCTTGAGTGTATATTTTGGCTTGGAAGGCAGAAATACACTAACTAAAGGTGCTTAATTTTGTGCGTGTGGTTTTTTTTCTTTTTAAGTAAGTTGAACAAGATCCTGATTTTAGATCGCAAATCATTGCTGTATGCTTCACAGGGAAGAACTTGTTTTAGAATTATTCACATGTTGCCTGAAATATTGTTGATTTTCAGTACATCAACTTACATGTATTAAAACCAGGTCAAACTTTATCATTGCTTATTATGGTTGAAGAAGTCAGCCAGCAATAGCCTGTATAAGATGTTTGTTTGAGTTAGGGGGAAAATACTGAAAATGTTAATATTAAGATTGTAAGTTTAAAAAAAGGCTAAAATGAATTAGGTCTTTTTAACAATGTAATTAAATGTTAGGAATACTGCAGAACAACATTAAATTACGAGAGTCAATCTGAATTAATCTACAAGAAAAATATAAAAAGAGAAAGATAGAATTAGTCTTCGGTAAATGTACATTGTTACTGAATAAAATAAACAACTAAAACAAGAGGGCAATGTCCTCTGTTTAGATATTTAAAAGAATGTATTTTTTAGAGATTCTCAGTGATGAAATGTAAGAAAGGTTAATGTTAACATACTAATACTGCTCCTATACAAAATTCAGTGGGTTTGAAAACATTCAAGCTCAGGTACTTTGAGATTATTTATAATGGAGAACTTTGAATGGACAACATTTTTATAATCACAGCCAACCATGCCATTTTCAATCATCATTTTCAATCCCTTTAGTTACACTCCATAAAATCTGACTTCTTTAAATCCTGAAACATTAATGTACACCCCAATTTAGTTGAAAAGGAAATTAATAGTACAGTTATGTATTGGCAATTTTATGAGTATTCACATTGGATATACATGTTACCGAGTCTGAATCCATAATGTTGCCGTTGCAAAGGTAATGAATACATGCATAGAACATTATCAGAGTTCACTGCTCACAAATATGAAAAATTCAGAAGAGCTTAATAATCAAAAATTGCTCCTCCACTTGTAGTCCTTTCTTTAAACTTACCTGCTACAGAGTAGATAGGGTATTTGACAAATGGTTAAGCATCAAATCCTAGATGACTTTGAAAAAACCCTGTATTTTAAAGTAATGTTTTTACAAGTACGTGGTTTCACCATGACACAAAAAAAAAAAAAAAAAAAAAAAAAGAAAAATTGCTAACACCACCAAAGTTGGTTAGGAAAAGGAAATACAGAGGTCAGTCCTCTGGTAGGATTGCTAGCAGGCATGAACGGTGCAGAGTAGCCTGTTGGATGGTCCAGTAAAATGATATTCAGTGCAGCTAGCAGTAGCATTTACAGGCTGTACAGCTACTCTGATCAATGCATTTTCACCAAAATTGAGATGTTTTGTAGAAACACACAATAAAATTTTGCCAAGAAAGGTTGGCAGACAAACCCCCCATCTTGTTTTGCACTCGTTTTCATGAACTGACTATCTCACGTTTCATTAGAAGATGGACGAAAAAACATTTCTTCCACTATGAGAACATTTGAAAGATTTTGTCTTCAGTTCAACACAGAACAAAATCCCAATTTGATAACCTCAAAAACTGCTATGAAAGGAACTTGTAATCTCCTAGACTTTTACTTCTCAATTTGTTCTACTTCTGTATGGATACTAAGATTTTCTTTTGAACTTGCTTCTCATTTATGTCGATTCAAAATAATTCTCATTTACACAAGTTAAGATAATTGAGGTTAGCACCCCCAGGGCAGAGAAATACATACTTATTTATGGTTCATCTAAGGATAAGGATCAGAGTAATCAAATTCAAGTAGACCTTGGATGTGGGTTATGTGAGACATGTATTAACTATTGTGTATAAAATGTATTAAAGTTAATTCCTAATCTACATGAACTCTCGTGAAAGAAATTTAGCATGATGGACTTTCTTATAGGTACAAAAAATTTTCTCACTGATTCAATAAGGTCAAAAAGTCCAATATGTAGTTCTCATAACTGTGACAAAATATGACTTAATTCACAGATCCATTTTTAAATAAAAATTATTGATACACATGCTTTCATTTTAGTTTAGAATCACAGAATCATAGAATAGTTAGGGTTGGAAAGGACCTTAAGATCATCTAGTTCCAACCCCCCAGCCATGAGCAGGGACATCACACACTAAACTATGTCGCCCAAGGCTCTGTCCAGCCTGGCCTTGAACACCTCCAGGGTTGGAGGATTCACAACTTCCTTGGGCAACCTATTCCATAAAGGTTTGACCCCTTTCTTTCCCTGTGTAAGTTAACTTGCAGGACAACTGAAAGAGGCTTAACTGTTTCATTTTGTTTTTTTCCCAAATTTATGGGAATGCTCAAGGGTTTGCTAGTAAGACCAAAGTAAAAACAGTTTATAAGAATTTTGGGCGAGACCTGATTTTAATTTAAGTTCTTACATGGGTTTATATTACATTTTAAGCCTAATAGAGAAATTATTGACTAGTCTGGCTATTAGTCAATATGCTATGAAGAGAGACAAAGCTTCCAAAGTCCTTTGTTTGCAAAGGGTGATGGGATAAAAATGTAGATATACAGCAGGACAGATACCATTACTCCTTAAGGACCACCAGCCCAGTGTAAAAGTCTACGGATCCCAATTTTAGGATTATAAAGAACAATGCACAGGTATTCTATTCTATTCCCAACCTGTCAGCGATCTTTGGCATGCTAATTCTGCAAGTTTACAATTGTACCTATTTACAAAGGGGAGTTTATTTCATGAGTTAATGTCGTTAAATGGATATCTAGCTACTCCTTATTCATGCAAGATCCTGATTTTCTCAGGTTTTCCAGTCCATAAAAAGAAAAAAAAAGGCAGATGAGCCACAGCTTAAAAAAGCATTGAACACAGTTTTGGTGAAAATTACTTTTCAAGAGAGGTTAACTAAAGAGGGCTAGAAGTAAAACCCAAAGATATATTTTTTTAAGGAGCCAAGAAGACCTATCATCTTCATTCTTCATGAAGGGTTTGGCAGATGTCTGTTCTCTTACCTATGCAAAACATATCTGAGATGTTTTACATTTTGGTGTAGGCTTATATTAAAGCACTCTGCTTGCAAATTGGACTCTGAAAGGTAAATATTTTTTGATGAGAAGGGAAAAAACTACTGCTTTTCTAAATGTCTGAATACAACAGGCCCAAGTTGTACACCCACATGAACTGTGGCCTGTGTTAACTGTCACTCTCCACATTCATCCCTGAACTGCTTCTATTTTGATTTTGCTTGCTTCAGGTTTTATGTTGGTTTCCTCTTCCTCACTATATGCTCACAGTGAAGAACAGAGTTAAAATAAAAGGGGTTTATATATTCTTAAGTCTGCAATATTATGTATATGACTAAAAAAACCGAAGATAAGTCTTCGTCTTTTTAATTTCCTTTAAAAAGGTGATAATAGGAATTGTTACAGACATCAGCCAATTAGATAAATAATGCATTGTGTGAAGGACACTTCTTCAAAAAAAGCAATATTCACATTTTCAGCAGTTGAGATTTTGACAGGAAATGGAACAGAAGTAACAGCAAATCAGGAGGCAGTAGATAATACCTTCTTTTAAGAATGTGCCAAAAAATGTCAACACGACCTTAGTGAGAATTGCAGACGTAAAAAAGGGGGGGAAGAGGAAGGAAATGCCAAAACATAAAAACCAGCAGTTAAATATAAAAGCTGTAAGAAAAGGGGTAAAATAAATATAAGTTTAAACTATTGGATTATTAATTAATTTTAAATCATTAAATTATTAGCTTTGTAGTCACTGTCAACATATTGAGGACATTGCAATTTTTTTGTAATTTTTATGCTATATGATTTGCAACAAGAAGTTAAAGGTGATATTAATGCCTTCAAAAATCACTGAGCATACTTGAAATACTCAAGATCCCCTAAGTTTTAATTATGGGCAACAGTTTGTCATAAAATTATGTTTAACAGACAGAAAGTGCAAGCATCACCAATGTTAATATCACCTCAAAAAAATCTGTATAAGTAGTTAGCTGGAAATATGTCTGTAGAGAAATGTATAAAATACAGCAACTATTCAAGAAGAAGAAAATTTTTTGTTATGTAATATCCTGCTCAGTGTACAAAGTGAGAGATGAGGAATTCTTGTTCTGTAATTGTTACCTTTTTGGCAGGTTATAATTTTCTTCTGAAGCTGAAGGCACAAATCGTTGAGATGGTCAGCTTGCCAGTACTTAAGAAACACTTTTCGGACTCCTATCTAGAATACAAACAGCAGAGTAATCTTCACCATCAACAAAAAAGGCCAAAACAATGACAGGTAGATAAGTATAATACATATACAATTCAGCTAAAGGTTGAGATGAGATCTGCAATTCAAGAACAGCAGAATACAAATACGTGTATAGAGAGCTACTATCACTTGGTTGAGTAAAAGATGTATTTGGAAAGGATGAGCAGATTGTCAGACACACAGTCCCTCTTCAGTTCCAAAAACATTCAGAACAAATACTACAATCTTCAGCTTGGGAAAAAGTGCATTCTGAATGTAGTTATGCTAAAGTGCTAGACAACATAACAGGAAATAAGGTTTAGCTTTTATAAAACAGGGGGATGTGGGCAAGGAAAAAGGTGCAAAGTCATAAATCCATGTGTAACAGAAAATTAAAATAGATAGCTGCCATCTGTGGAACAGCAAGAATTTAGCCCAAGTTGGAGGATAGGAGAAACTCACTGCCATTAGCGAGAATGATTCCCAATGTCCAGTAAAATTAAGAATCCTAGTTCCCAGCCTTGCCTGCTGAAGTTGTGTCTCAGGTCTCTTTTTAGTATCAAGCCTAAGAAGTGAGAGACAGGGGGACTCATTTGTGAAAAATAATCTCCTAAGTATTTGATTGAGTTTTTGAGCTTATTCTGGTACTGACTAGTTGCCTGGTTTAACTCATCTAGTTCTTGAGGGTCTTAATTACAATCATTAGATGCTCTTCACCCTAGAAAAAATTAGCTAGTTAGACCAAAAGAAAATACCTTCTTTTTGATAGCTTCTGAACACGATGAAACAATCTTTAAAAATTCTTTTCTGTGTAATCTTCAAAGGCATTCCTTTCTAATAGCCTTAAAAAAACCCAAACACACACAATCTAGCTACTTAGAAATAAAAGGACCAGTATCAGAGAACTCTGCTATCCAGTGAAGATTATAATTTCTGTCTAGCTAGTAATTTTGTATGGCTAATAGGCATACTGATTAATTAATACAAGTCTGGCTAAAATTGCAGAAATTGGTTCCAACTCGTTTGTCTACAGCTCACAAGCTCGTTCTCTTATTGCACCGTTCTGCTCCACTGTTGTATTTTTAGTATAGATCTGGAAGACCGGTATTGGCAGGGATATTTGCACACCTTTTCAACTAACTGTTTTTAATCCAAACACTACTGTCACACGTACATCACTGGTAGTGATGAACTACAGAAAGCCCGAACATGTACACCACCTCTAAACTCCATTAACAACATTCAGAAATGACTGGGGCACATTTTGTCCCTTTGTTCCCTTTTCATTCTACTCTAGAGAGAAATTATTTTAAATCAAATGTTTTGAAAAGTCTAATTCTGAAGTTTGAGCTGACAGACAATGATGGTGCAACTGTTAGTCTTTTAGTTAAAAATCAGAGGCGCTGAAATGGCGAGATTAGAATGCTTTCTAAATCTTTTTACGTATCTTTTTTCCCCAATAAAATAGGCCTCTTTGTGTATTGCAAAGTGTGTGAAGGTGATAAAAAACACATTTTACTTGTCTTGCCATTGCAGAAACTCATAAATAGGGAATAGGGTTTTTTGCATGGTGGGAACAGCTATTTTAGAAAACTGTGCAGCTGCAGAAATACTAGTATAATTTAGCTATTCCAGAGTATCTTCTCTATTCAGACCACCTATTCTGGAATAATCCTGCAACAAATTGGAGTTATTTTTCCAGAGCAATATTACCTTTTCCTGGATCCTGTTTCTGTAATGGTAGTTACCCTGGTAAAATGATATCTGTATATTTACTTAATAGATTATCTTGACTGATGTCTTCCAATTTTTAACTTCATATTCATCTGAGGCAATCTTACTGAGATCTCATTGTGCTTTTATACTTTGCTTTTAGGGATATACATTCATCCTCATTTTCTTGACCAGTGACTTCTAACAACAGTTTTCACTTTTCTAGCTGTGCTTTCAAAATTCCCTTTTTGCCTGGTTGTCTTAGCACTCTGACTTCCTTCTTCATTCATTATCTATTCTGTCGTCTGCTTCTTTCCCAGAGCTTGCTAAATTTCCTTAGGAATCATTCCTTTTGTCCCCACTTCTCTTCCTTTTTATTTCAAAAGTTCTACGAAAAAGAGGTCAACCACTTTCTCCTACAGTTTGAATTTGATTCTCTTTTAAATCCTGTACCATGAACAAGCAAACTTTTCATGTTTTCCCAGCAAATTGTGTCAATTTTCTCCTCTCTTCCCAACAGGTATTCTATTTTCATGCCTTCAATGTTTTTTCCAGGACACCAAAACTCAACCTTGACTCCTCCTAGCAGATCTCCTCCGTCACCCTGCAAATTCTGTAATAACTGCTCATCAAACAACTATTTTTTCCATCCATCTTGTCAAAACACATATTAAATTTTCCTTACTACTGGTTTTGCCTACTAAACCCTCCATTTCTTGCTCACATCATCTTAAATCCAGAATTCTTCTATAAGAATAACTGCATTATTATTCATATGGTTAACTGTAATTAAATTATCATGTAATTATAATTACCATTTGCATCTGACTAGCTCTCAGGCAACCATAGCCTAGATACAAATACTTAAAATCTTCTACTCTGTTTACATTTTCTCTTTATACTCCGCTTTTCCTTTCCACAAACCCTCCACATCACTTTGAAGACCCCTTTCTCTCCTCTGTCTCAGGACTATGCCAAATCACCCATTTTGTCCTCTTTCGCTCCATTCCTCAAACTGCTTGTTTCTTCCCTTACTTCCTCACTGGAAGTCTCTAAAACATTCATCTCTACTAGGGCAATATTATGGTACTCTGACAGAAGAAAAGGGGATGAAAAGTTATACTTTGAAATATTAAAAAAGCTCTGATTATTAGCAGTGTCCATGGCAAAATAAACAACCCCATTCTTGATTAGTCTCATAATTAACACACTGGTCACATTTAGGCTATATTGCAAATGTATAGTTTAACTAAACATTAAGTTGCAATTCATTTTGCAGTGTACAGTCACAAAATCACAGTCAAGATAATTACTTAAGCTTATGGTTAGTTAAGCTACAAGTGTCTGGGACTATAGAATCACAAAGCTAGCTAGGGGACATGCAAAGCATTAGTGCATTTTTCTCCTGTCCTGCACCCTAGGAACAATATAAATGGAGGTATTGTGACATTGCTTATGCTATGAACTTCATTAGTAGAAGCCTGCTACAATTTTTAAGTGAACGAAGGAATACAAAATGTCAATACAAATTCATTTTTACTTTCAGATAAAAGCTATTTATAGATTTTACATCATATGCCAGGTCTATTGAGAACAGAGCTCTCAACAGAAACTGCTATAACCCATTTGATTATGTTAGTATGGCTACAGATCTGTGTTGCTCAGTCTTTGAACTAAATCTGATACCCTCTAAAGCTGACCGAGTACAAGCTAGTCTCACTGCCCTCTGTACAGTTCTGGTGTTCAGCAAAAGCAATAATGCTGAAAAATGTTGGCATTTCATATGTCAGATATCAAAACAATTTTTGAGGCTGCCACCTGTCTTCATTCTAGTCTTTCCTCTAATCACAAGACGTTCCCTGCTTGCCTAGGGGAAAAAAAGGTTAAAATGTTATTCCACTAAAGCACCCACTTTTCAATACTTTCTGGACTACAAAGTGCTCTCATCTGAGTTTGAAATTTTAATGTCATTCAGACTCCTGTAAAAGTAAACCATCTGTGAATTACAGCCATAGTTATTTTAATTAGAAAAGCATTAGGGTTTTAAATGTTATTTTTCAAAATGACATATTTTTTTAAAGATTAAGTAAAATTGTCATTGATGACTACCAAAGCTTCAATTATTGCTACAGGCCTCCTTTTTTCTTCCTGGGAGGAAAGAGAAAAGACGGGAGGGAGCTGTTCTTTCTCTTTCTTCTTTTTTTTCTCCACCCCTCCCTCTCCTTTTCTTTTTTTTTTTTTTTTTTTTTTTATTTTATAGAAAAGGTGTAGGATGTAGAAGTACAGACATTCAAAACTATGGAATGGATGCTGAGATGGTGTGTAGGTGGCATGGAGGCAGTATTAGCTCATACTTAATAGGTGTCAAGGGAATCTGTAAAGCTGTTCTTTAGTTTAAAAAAGGCAATTTGTGGGAGTGCTGTGTGTTTCTGGCAGTACTTTCAAAATAGCTACCTACAAAAGACAGAGAACTATAATCTAATGATATTTTACACAATGACACACATTTTCACAGTGCATTAATGAAATGTAGAAAAAAGCCTTAAAACTATTGTAAAATGTGTCTTTTTGCAGTGTACATGTCTGCAAAAATATTATAATGACAAACACATTTACAGGGTACTGATCTTTTACAAGGACTGAAATGTTATTTTTAAAAGCTTACTCTATCTGCTTTATTTGTTAGCTTTTTTTCTCACATTTTAAGAGTCCTCATTTGTCTCTCTCTGGCAAACTAATGACCTTGCACCATGGTACATGCTGAATAAACCTACACTTTAGTATAGACTGTACATAGCCTCAATATAACGTATCTGAGTAGCCCAGTATTCACACAAATGACATTAAGGATTTATGTAAGTGCTTGTCAGGCATTGGACTTTAGGGAGAAAAACTGTCATTCACACTTCTGGGAAAGGGCAGGAAAATGGTCGTTCATTTTCCAAATGCTGCATGAACCTCACGGCTCTTTTCACTTGAGAGGCAACAACAAGGACTGCCTTAGAGGAAAGGCAGTGATCAGGAAATATAAGATGCACGTAAGAAATACTCAGTGGAGGAAACCTTACCCCAGTTTTATCTTATGGGATTTCTGTACTTACTAGACCTATTATTCTAGTCTTTCAAAAATCTAGAAATACACACAGCACCATAAGAAACAATATGAAAGTGTCTGCCTGTGTGAACTGAGAAACCAGGGACAGCAATGACAAAGAAAACAAATCCTGAGGTTAGGAAACTGGGAAACTAAACCCAGACAACAGATGAACACTGAG